GCGATTGAAGCTTCGTGGTCCATGCGCCCCAATTAAGTTAATAACAATATAGCTACCTATACAGTTTAAGTTTAAAGAATTTGACACTCGAAAGAAATTTCAATCGTTGTACTGTTCATATTTGACTCCGGCGACTAATGAGTTTGTCGACCACTGATCGTAGAAGAAAATGAGTCGACCGGCTCGGATAAACCAGGATTCGAACAATCGAACTCGATTGTTTGAACCAATTTGAGCTATCCGGGCCGACCGACGACGTATTCTCTCCCAATCTTTAACCCGGGATTATCCGCGTGAGATGCTCATGGACCCCGAAGGAAAAAGTTACTTCGAATGACCTCGGGAACCCCTCATTTTCGGATTGCGAGGCATTTGTTGGGACACCCTGTATAACGAAATTAACACTTAGCCAACCGAACGGGGTGATCTACCCGTTTTAAATTCAGTCGGTTGACGATCGAATGGATGATTAATCAAAAATTAAAAATGATTGCCTAATTTTATTAAGATTTGCAAGAGGTACGATTGCTGAAGAAGTAATCGATGCCATATAAGTTTGCTTCATAGTTTTGGTTCAATCGAATGAAATATTTTAATTTTATGAAAATTTTTTAGCTTTCTAGCGCGGTCGTGGAAGTGTTAAAATGTACGAGAATTTGTGGACTAGACCTCCACGTAGATCCCCACGTGGGTAAACCCGTGTCAAAAACAACACGTAAAGTCAGCACGTCAGAAATAACGCCGAGATCTCACGCTAGAATAGCAACATTTGTCGGTGAAACGAGAGCGAAGTAAACAGTTTTCGATGGTTTCGACATCTCGAACCAGAAATTTTGGGAACCCGAACACCCCCAGTGACAGATAAAAGGCACATCCATAATTAGAAAACATTATTTGAAAACAATGCGGTCCACCTCGCCGGTCGGCGCGGACGAGAGGGGGACAGGGTGGGGTGCTCTATTCAAGGGGCCACCGCGGCGCACAATGAAACCCATTCAATAAAGCAAAACGAATCCGGGGCCTAAACGGCTCTTTTGTTCCAGCGCATTAATATGCTAATTCAATTATCCGCGTGGTTGCCGGCAAGCCTTCCCCGAACGCCGGTCGATCCGCAATCGGCCCTCGTCCTTCGAGTCTCACCTCTCACCCGCCCCGCCCCACCCCGTCTCGCGCTGCCCCCTTTCATCCGAATGTTATAAAACACTCGGGAAGGTTAAACTTTTCCTTGGGGATTTCTATTTTGTCGACTTTTCAGTGTACGTTCCAACGGCTTTCACCGTGGAAAGTCGAGAAATCGAAGTCCTGAATCTAGGAACGCAATTAAAATAAGACCTGAATTCATTTGTTAAGAAGTCATGCTTGTCCAAACAGTCGACGAACTTCCACACACATAATTTAATGAGCGGCAACGCTGGATGGCAGTCGCGTTACGTCGAACCACCAATAAACTTATAATCGAGAAATAACTATGACATAACTTGTCAGAAGCGCGGGAAAATTCGTCAAGTTTGAACGCGCGTGACTTTTTAACAAATGAATTTCAGGACTTATTATAATTACATTTCTAGATTAGAAAGTGAAAAGAATAGAAACCCCCATGGAAAATTTCAGCCCTCGGAAATATTCACCTGCGAAGAAAGGGGTCGCACTGCGTCGAATATCGTCAGCTGATCCCCAATCGCCGGCTCACGGAACACCTTCGCGATTTATAATTATTGTACAACATCGTCGGGTTGCCGCGACAGAACCAGGGATTGAAAATGTTCCGAAGATAACTGTTCCAAACCGTTATGTATCAGTCCTGACTGAAACAGTTATGGAGAATCGAAACAGTTTCAAAACAGTTACGAGGTATATCGGTTCTGACTTATATCGGTCTCGGTTTCGGTTCTTGGGAACCGATATTCTATCGGTTCTATAACTGTTATTTTTCGGTTCTGGATTTTGGTTATGCGTGCACGCATTGGCCAATCTCAATGTAATTACAAAAATTAAGCACCCATAAATTTCTATATGGTACATTGGCCGTAGTCGCAGCTTATTCATACAGTAATGTCTCTCTAATTGACGCCCAGATTGTCCATAAAAATTGAAAATTTGGGAAGAGGAGATACAATTATTCGATTATTGCGGTTCGTCTTTATAATTACGAATTGTCAACAACTATAAAGAACGAGCTGCACGGCTCGAATAATCGTATCTCCTCTTCCCAAATTGTCCAATTCAAAGAATCTCATTAACCACGCTTCTAATCCCCAAAGGAAATACAATGTAAATGTCTGTTGCGTGACATAAAAGTAAAGTTAAATATTCTAGAGTAAAATTAAGTAAAATCTTCGGTTCGAAGATTTTCGAATTTCTTCTTCTCGATTCTTCGAATCGAAGTTCTTCGCAACTGTTTCAAGAACCGAAACCGACATTATAACTGTTTTCAACCCCTGGATAGAACATACATGTACACCAGGCATGGGCGAATCATTTTGGCCGTGGCACACACAAGCTCCAGTGCTATTACTCCACGTGCATTGCTACGCATGAAATGGACAGCTCCGCGTGCAGCACGGAAGAAACAATATCGTATCGTTTTGCGATAATAATTTGCGACAATATCGTGTTGCGCGAGTGTGCGAGGGTCGAGCCACGGAGAGCTATAAGAGTGGGAAAGAGCCAGATTTCGTCCACGGCTTGCCCATGCCTGATGTATGCGTAAGATCGCATAAGACTCGGGCCTGGGCGAGTCGCGGCTTGTGAGCCAAATGCGGCTCTTTCTCTCTGTTGCCTATTCCGTGACTCGCTGTGCACCTTCAAATATCCTTCAGACACTCGCACGACGCGAAATACGATTATTGTTTCTCCCATGCTCCACGCGGGACCGTCCACGTCATGTGTAGCAATGTACACGTGAAACAATAGCAGCCCAGACCCGCATTAGACGATACCAAGTAAGAGCTAAAAATGTGCGCAGCGTCGTCCGAGACGCCTTGTTTACTCTTTCGTTTGACTATACAGTAATTTTGCTATACAGCATCGTTATCGAGCATTAACACGTTCCGTGCCGAGCTTTTTTTACTCGAATCTTCACACTTTGATATTTTACTAAAACTTGATGTATTACGTGCAATTATTAATTCTCGTACACATAACAACGTAACAAAAACTTATCAACGCCCATTCTTGCGGTGGAAATTGATTCTTCGGTTCTAAATTTCTTGTAAACAATTTGTTCAGTTCACTAAGTAAACATGCAAGCGTGTACC